TTATGAGAAATATTAGAAAATTGAACATTTTTGCGATTTGTTAATTAATAGGAATGATCTGCAAGGGTATATAAGCTTCGGATGGCCGAAGCTAGCTTCCTTTCTTGTTTGAAATAAAACCTTCTACTCTTGGAAATGTTATTTTTTTAATAATTTGCGAATTTTGAATAAAATATTTAAAAAATCGGACGTATATAATAGCCATAGCCATAGGAACAATAAAAAAAAAAATTAAAAATTCTAACTTTGGTGATTTTTTGAAATATTAACTTCTACTCTTGGGAATGTAATTTTTTAAATATTTATGAATTTCGAATAAAATTTAGAAAAAATCGGGACACTATATCATATAGCTGCCATAGGAACGGTCGGAAAACTAAATGCAAATTAATAGGAACAAAATTATTGCTTCGTTGGTTTTTATTGTATTCTTTTCTACTCTAGGATATGACTCTTTTTAAATAGTTTCGAAGTTTAAAAATACTTGTTAGTTTTTACGTTCTTATGGAAAGAATTCTATAAATTCCATCCTTTGAAGTACAATAGTGGTATTTATCTCAAAAATCGTCAAATATTTTAGGGCATATATTTTTCCTTTCCTTTTTTTAAGCCTGTTCACCGCATCAAGTTGGTTGGGAATAGAGGTGAACAAATTACTTCAATGTCTTTGATTAACTCAAATTATGATGGAACCTTAAATGCAATTATTATATAATAATTAAACGCGAAAACTAAGTATGCAGATATGCTGATATACGTCTATATTAACATATTTTAATGCCAATAGGCCTGTACCTTTTAATAAAGTCCATTTTGTTGACCTGTGTTATTGATCAGGATAACTAGCCGAGCCGATTTAGCCATGTCCCTCTGTCTGTCCATGTGAACGCGAAGATCTCAGAAACTATAAGAGCTAGAGAGTTTGTGTTTTGGATTTAGCTTTGTTAGCTTCCCATTTGCCCTTTATGACACCCTCTTAATTATGTTAATGCAAAATCTAAATTGTTTGAAATGCGGCGCGGGAAAAACATGCAAGAAGGCTTATTTATATTACAGTTGTATACCTAAAAAACGGGTATTTAATAGTATTAAATATATTTTCTTTTTTTTTTGTTTGTTTTAATTTCAAAATTATACCTTGAATCAACTTATCTTCTACTTACTTATCCTTTGGAACAATTTGAATTAACCATACCAAACATTTTTGACTAAATTGTCAAATCCTACTTGTGTTGGAACATTGTAAGTTCGTCATAAGCACGAGACCGAAGAAAACTTTCCCATGCATGATGAATATTTATGTATTTTGTTTCAACGAAATCTCCACGATTGCCACACGATATTTAAAACCTCACAGATTTTTCATCGGAAGACGCAGGGTAACCTGCACAATTTTATATTTCTCTGCAGGCCGATATGTAGGTCAAAGAGAGACGAGAGAGTGAGTGGGGAGGCGCATGAAATTGTGATGTTATGGTGGTCAAAATGCAGTGACGTCAACGAGCACCGATGACTGCTAAGCGTTTACACAGAATTCGCTCGAGACGAGGCCGAGTCTTGATTTAATTCAAGTGAATTTTTTGGGGGAAATACCTGGACCTGGTCATTGTTTTGGCTTTTAACTTTCGTCTTGCTTGACTTCACTTCCGTTGATGGGAAAAATGCGAATCAGGCGAACTATTTGCCAAAGTGCTAAACGTTTAAGCCGTAAATTCCCAATTGACCATTACCGCGCTATATAAATCGCTAATAATATGCTTTGATGTTGTACTGAACAACTTGACTACCAATGAGCCACCAGACCCAAAACATTCCGTCGAGTTTATGCGAGGAGCATTCGCATCCAGTCGGAAGCTCTTCTAGCTCGTTGACCCGGAACGTGGAATTTTACACTATGTGGATCTCTGCACAGTTCATATTTCTCAGCGCACAAAATAATAAATAAGAACGTCTAGACCAAAGCCACCCACAAACACCGAAATCTATAAAACCAATTTTTATTCGTTTCCAGTTCAGATCGTAAATCACTCGCAGAAAGGAACACATCAAAATGAGCAAAGAAAAATAATATATATTTGTTTTGTTTTGCTTGTAGCATTAGGAAATCATCAGGCGTAGCAATTGAAATGCAAAGCTTAAGCAGTTGCAGGCTTAAATTGAAATTAAAATGTATAATCTTACAATTGTGAATTTGTTGATAGTTATTCGTTGTTTTAATAGCTGCCTATACCATAGATCGACGGTTTTTAGCCATACTGTTATTGCTGCTCGTGCGTTTATTTATTTCCATTTGATTCGCTTCATCTTCCGATACGGAAGACGACACCTGACGCAATGAGGCTCATCAGATCCGCTCTGCTTCCCTCAGTTTGTTGTTGGCTTTAAATTGTCGCAGCGAAATTGAGCGGCTTATGAGGTTTTTGTTTTTGGCAAATTTCAATGTCACTGTCACAAATTCGCTATATGCATATTGATTTGCCTTGTTCGATTAATTAAAATGTATCAAAAGATGATCGCTGAATGTGGCAAGTAACAGAGTATTCTCATACAAATCTGATCAAATGTTAGTAAACAATCTTGTCTTTAAAATTAGTACCAGGGCTGTAAATCAAACCAAATATAATTAATTTCAAGGTTTAAAATTTATTAAAAAAAAAATAAGATACAATAGAAATTCTAAATTTGATTTATTAAATTAAATGAAATTAAATTGATTTATTTATTTATTTGTACAGGGTAGGCTTTTTTCTTTTTGCAAAATTAAGGTACCGTAAGAATAGGTAAATGATTCAAACTGAACAGACTAACTGGTATCTGATAGTCGAGGCACTCGACTATAGCGTTCCTTTTTGTTGTACACCCAGAAAATGAAAAATGACCTTAAATGTCAAAAAATGGCCTAGAATTTAGGTTAAAGTGGCCTAAAACTGGAGCTAAGTCCTTGAATGGCCTAAAATTTAGGATTGTATGACCTAAAATTTTAGGCCATTAATGGCCTAAAACGGGGTAATTTTTGGTCTAGATATTAGGTAATTGGCTGCCTTAAAATATGAGAAAACCCCTATCCAAAATTTTAGGCTTTCTTTGGCCTAAAAATTTGTACTGAAAAATGTTTCATATTATAAAGTAAATACAGAGAAATTTATAGCTAACTCGAGGTCAATGTCGGCTTAGTCTTCAAGAAGTCGTCATTATGCCAACACACAAAAACGAGCGAAGAGGCTTCACTGTTCAGCAGTGAAATCGCTGTTTTATTCAACGATCGAAGTGGGTTACTATGCAAGCCGCGCTATAACTGGTTGGGAATTATAGCGTCGCTAGAACGGTATCAGAGTTCCGTGCAAATTTATTTAGGTAAAATGCATTAATTTTAAGGCCCACGATGACCTAAAATATTAGGCTATACGGGACCTAAATAGTAGGGCAAATATACCAAAAATTTAAATTTTTAGGCAGTACATGACCTAAAAAGGAACTTTTAGTCCATTTAAAATGTTATAGGCTATGCATGACCTAAAATGTTGTCCATCATTTTTCTGGGTGTATATAAATAATTTAAGTCATCCATTTATTGGCTTCTTTTGTTGTTCCCGGCTGCAATTGTTATTGAACATGACACCAGAAAATGTCGTTGAACCCACTAAGGTAAAGGCAATTGTTATACCGCGCCACATGCAAGCGCCGTGTCTACCTTTTTTCATATTTCCCTATATGCATGAAGTACCGATTTAATTCATCGTTCTTCTTTTGATTCAGGTGACGTGTATGGGTACCCGAAACACTCGATTATGTAGCATGCCAAATAACAGCCAATAGAAGGCAATTGTTTTTAATAATTTGTCAGTAGCAGCAAACAAAAAGCGTCAAAAGCAGCGGGCAATGCTCTTAGGGAAGGTCGAACTACAATAATTACTTGATTAACTTACGAAATAAGTTTCAATTTTCAACTGACGCATCCGATAAAAACTAAAGCAATTAACGGTACATTTGTTGATTTAAAAGGAATTTGAATGTGACCAAAATTTTACAGGAAGCGAACATTCAAAAAATTAGCTGTCCATTAATGGCCAACTGAACTATTTTCGCGTAATCCACAAGTTTCAGTCACGTTAGGCAAGTAGAAGGACACTTCAAAATTTAGCTTTTGATTTTAGAAATATTCTCTCGAATGCATTATATTTCCCTATATTAATACCCTTTTATGTTTTCTTATATTTCCAGGTAAGTCCCGAAATTGTATTATATAATGAGTTTTGGATTCTGGAAAACGTAAACCTTGAAACGGGTAATCCGAACTATCGAGGCAAACACCTGTGTTTATGTGTTCATGCTGATACCTATTTACACAAGAAGTGTCAAGAAATATATTTGGTCAAGTGCTGGAGCCAACTGACTGTAATAAGTATATTTGTGGATCTTGACTCTTAAGGATTTTCACATAATATCCCGAAGAATTCGTTAGTTTCCCAGTGTCCAGTCTTAGAATAAGTCCCTTCTGTATCGAGGTTACCCGTTTAGTATTTCTTATCACATTTCAGTGGCGTTTCTAAGCATTCGTCATTAATGACGGGTTCAATGGCGTTCACAAGAACCCAAGCGGAGACATTTAGAAACGCATAATTTGATTTCCAGTGACGCGACAACGCCGAGTTATTTTGGTTACGTGAACAAATTAATACAACCTGACATTTTGTCAGTAACAGCGACGAGATAATTGTTTTCAACTCGATTTGATCTTTGCAATCAACGCACTTTGTGACTAATTGTTGTCGTAATTGCTAAACTGTGCACTTCATCTCGGAGCGATATAAGAGCGAGCCACTTGAGCCCAAAGAGAGGGATAGAGCCAGCTCTTCGATCAGCTGTTGGACTTCTTGGCCAAGTTATAAGAGACTAAGCACACAAAGGCGGATCTGAGAGCCAGAGAGCGGGAACGGGAGCGCCTCACCTACACAAGGCAGTGAGCTTGGCTCGAATGGCGCACACATAGATGCTAAGACGGCGAACGCGAGTGTGTCGGTGCGGTGGCAAGCGGTTAAAACCTTTCTATAAAAATTTCATAAACGTATCAGTTGTCTGCGAAGCGGTGCACAAAACGGACGTGTAAACGGAAGCCGCGCCAAATCGATTCGGAAATCGGAATAGCGCCTGTACACGCACGCAGCACATAGGAAATCGAATCCGAATCCGAATCTAAATCAAATGCCTTAATCGAACTCGGCCAAAGCTCGACGACCGCGCTCACAAGTTGTTTCGCTAACGCGCCGACTGAATATCCGTTTCCCACTAACTACCGACCCGCTGCACGGTGCGGCGCAAGCGCGGCCTGTTTGTGTTGGTGGCATACTTCTAACAGCCAGTGTTTCCTTTGTTCAAAAGTGCCCCGAGAAAAGCCCCACTTTAATATGGATAAGTGGCAGCCGGAGCAGCAGTAGCAGCGAAACGAGAAAAGGTACAACCCGGGCCAGCTGCATATGCGGAATATTCCAAATGTGGATGTGAGATCCGAAAGAGATGGGAGCAGAACTTTCTATTTTCTTTACTGTTTCGCGTGTGCTTCGCTGGTCGTGCAAACATATTTTCTTTGCCGCTGCGCACGCCCCTGGAATTAGAATGGCATTTTCTGTGCGGAATACAAAGTCGAGCTCGTTTCGTAAGAGAATTCCTGGGAGTCGCCATACGTTTTGGTTGGATCGGTGGGGTTATGCAATGCCTGCCTGGCCACAAAGTCGTCCTCAACTTTTCGCGAACTTTATCGTTCGCTATGTGCTAAAATGCACAACTGGCTTACCAAACTAGTGATACATTTGTGTGAGTACGGGTTCACATAGTTCCGTGCACATGCTCTTTCTTATACACCGACTGCGGTTTTGTTTTTCGAGCCACCATCCCAGGCAGCAGAAATCATATCAATTTTGACTTACGTGACTTGGACAAACTGCACCAGTTCGCGCATATTCTGTGCGTTCGAGCTAAGGTTCAACTCGGGGTTCAAGCTTGAAACTAGCAGGCTCCAGGGCCCCTTCTTTCTCATCGCTTTTCGCCTTCTCTTGGCGCAGATTACCATGGCATGGCCGTAAATTTCCTGGGCCATGACTCATGCCCGTCAGTCGGAGTCGGTTAACAACAGCAGTGGCAGCAGAAAAAACGATAAAAATACAGATACAAAATATTCAGTTGAAAACACATGAAAATTGCTTTCAAAGGTATTGAGTGTATAGCGCCAGAAGAGCAAAAGAGAGGCGAAAAAGCTCATTGTTCATGGTGGCTGACTTGTGGTCTGCTCGTTGATGTTGGCACTGCGAGCGGTAACCTCTGCTGGCGTTCCCCGATTGTCTCCGCTGACATTATACCACAAGTGTTGAAGCATTTTACAGCCAAACTGCTCCCCAAACCAATTGATGGGATCCCTCATTAGGTGCTGTTTCAGCTCAGTGGGAAATTTGTAGCAAAGGCCATTTCAGGGCAATCGGGGTTTCAAAGCAAATTTAACCATCATGTTTTGATTAAATTTTGGCAGGGTTTTTGTATAATTAGTTGGCAGATTATATTTAAAAAACATAATATAAAAATATTTTTTTTTTTAATTAAAAAAAATCTTGGAGGGAGGGGGGGCAGGAACTTCTACATTTCCTTTGCCCTGGATCCCCACATGAACACAACATGAATTGGCTTTAATATATTTATTTTGAAATTGTTGTTGCATATCAATATTATTAAATCCGATTTCGGATTTAGGATTGATTTGTAGAATGGAAGCGATTTGGATTTAAAAGAGGAGTGAAATGGATGCTACTTAATTTAGTCAGTGGTCTCGTTACCATTGTGCAATGACCTAAATCGTTGGCACAAAATCAAAGCCAAACTCATTTTTTGCCATCAGCTTTTTTGCAGGCTGGTCGGCTATGTTTTTGGTGCCCAAAAAGCTTACTATTCATTTGCACTTAAATGGGCAGTAGCACGCGGACAACCAACTGATTTGTTGGCGGGCTTTGGGCTTGGTTTTGTGCTGGTCAGTGGTTGGTTTTGGGATTTAATTTTTTTAATTTTGGATTTCCAGAGAAAGTACTGGCCAAAGCTTTGAAATATTCGGCATCAATCAACATTCCCCTTTCTCGCAACCCCTAGTTCACTTAAAGTATATATTAGTTTGAGAGTTCCGTTGCCTTGTAATTCTTGGAGCCGTCTTAGCAACAAATCAAACATACCGTTGGCAACAACTAAAGAGTTTCTGTTTTATTTTCGAGGTTTGCTGTTTGTGGTCTAGCAGACTAGAAAGAAACAACAACAAGCTAAAATACAGCAACAACAAAAAACAAATCTAAACCGGTTCAAATTGGGTCGTAGTACTTTTGAGTGCAATTGTTACCTTTCCAGCAACAACAAACCAACACCAATCGCACTCGATTCCACTCGCTCTGCAGCTCATTATGGCCGTTATTATGTTGGTCTTGTTCAGTTTTCTTGGCACGCGCTGCCATCGAAAAAACCAACTCCCACACAAACAAAAGAAAACAAATCGAGCGCTATTTTGTAATGACCATGTTTCGAAGCGGTTAGCATAGGTCAGTCAGTGGGCTCCAGTGTGAATCGAACTTCTGATTAGGGATTAGTTTCTACTCCCAGATATGTAAAAATAAAAAGGTATTTTCCATTTGCCCAAAATAGCTGTGACAGCAAAGAATGGCAATTAAAATGCGGTATTGCACTTTTAGTACCCGATGCTCTTTAATTAATGGCTAGACTACTAGTGCAACGATCACATTATGCTAACTAACAGCTGATGCAGTGAACAATTTTAAATTTAGATGTGTAACGCATTTAAAGACTAGTTCTTAACATCTGGCGCGTGACAAAAAAACAGCTGAAAGGAACACATTATTATTTCCAGAGGAGCTTTAAATCTCCTTCAGAGAATCTGAGAGAAACCAAGACGGGTTCAACTGGTTTTGTACGACGACGTTGTTATTATGGTTATTGTTGGTGTTAATCATTGAAGCAGCTGTTTTAACTTAATATTATTTAACTCTTGTTGATATCAAATAAATGCCTTACCTGAAAGTTAAGTTTATTATACCAGTTACTCGTAGAGTAAAAGGGTATATTGTATTCGTGCAAAAGTATGTATTAGGGAGAAGGAAGCGTTTCCGACCGTATAAAGTATATATATTCTTGATCAGGGTCACTAGCCGAGTCGATATAGCCATGTCCGTCTGTCCATCTGTCCATCTGTCCATCTGTCCGTCTGCCTGTCTGTCTGTCCGTCCGTATGAACGCTGAGATCTCGGAAACTATAAAAGCTAGAGGATTGACATTTTGCATGCAGATTCTAGGAGTTCCTACGCAGCGCAAGTTTGTTTCAAAAGGGTGCCACGCTCCCTCTAACGCCCACAATCTCTTATATACGATTTTAAAAATTTCAAAATTTCGGATAAGTAAAAATGCAGTTTTATTGCGTTTTTTAAATCGGACCATTCGTTAAAAAGTTACGGCGGATCAAAGTTTTTATCTCCATCTCCTTCGCACTCCCTTTAGCTGAGTAGTCGGGGCACCCGACTATAGCGTTCTCTCTTGTTATACCCGTTACTCGTAGAGTAAAAGGGTATATTGTATTCGTGCAAAAGTATGTAACAGGTAGAAGGAAGCGTTTCCGACCCCATAAAGTATATATATTCTTGATCAGGATCACTAGCCGAGTCGATCTAGCCATGTCCGTCTGTCCGTCTGTCCGTCTGTCTGTCTGTCTGTCTGTCCGTCTGTCCGTATGAACGCTGAGATCTCGGAAACTATAGAAGCTAGAAGATTGGCATTTTGCATGCAGATTCTAGGAATTCCTACGCAGCGCAAGTTTGTTTCAAAATGGTGCCACGCCCCCTCTAACGCCCACCATCGCTTATATACGATTTTAAAAATTTTAATATTTTGGAAAAGTAAAAATGCAGTTTTATTGTGTTTATCAATACCTATCGAAATGTAGAAGAAATTTTTCAAATCGGACCATTCGTTAAAAAGTTATGCGTGATCAACGTTTTCTATCTCTATCTCCATCTCCCTCGCACTCCCTTTACCTGAGTAACGGGTATCTGATAGTCGGGGCATCCGACTATAACGTTCCCTCTTGTTTTATCTTGAAAGGTGTGATATATAAGAGACAAATACATTTTTTGTATTATAAATTGAAACTAATAACAGAAATTATATAGACTGAAAAGTTGTTCGTACACTGACTCATTCTATTTTTAACGAGGACGGAAGCCAGCCGATGTTTTAATACCCTTGTAGATTTCACGAATGAAAATTTGACTAGAATAGCAACATGAATTAATAAACAAAAAAATATTATATTAAAACAAATAAAATTTTAAAATTGTTCACCCTTTTGTTTGCAAAATATCTTAATTTTTTGAAAGCTATATCCGATTATTCCTATTTTTTCAAAGTTGATCTGCATACATATGTTTTAAGGCGACTGTGAAAGTTTCAAGTCACTAGCTTATGAGCTCAGTTTAAACCAACGGTATTGAAACAGACGGAAAGACAGACATGGCTATATTGACTACCCTATTGATCCTGTTAAAGAATATATATACTTTATGGGGTCGGTAACTTCTCCTTCACTGCGTTACAAACTTTTGACCAAAATAATAATATCCTCTGCAAGGGTATGGGAAGTAAAGTACTAGGAATTCACTATATTTATTCGGTGTCCTTCAGACTAAATTTTTTTTAACCCGGCAATAAATTAAGAAACTGACAAACAGCCATCAACTTTTCCTGGGCAAGGTTAAAATGTTTGACCAAGAGTACAAAATTTGGCACCCAAATAATAAACGATAACAAATTACAGTAATGAACAAAAACAACTTTTAGAAAACGTTTTTGTATGGAATCAGTTCTTTTACCTCGAGCATATCAAAAATACAATCAAAATACACCATGAAGGATGATGGTAGTTCCTGGTAGAACAGTTTATATTGAGTATATTGTTAGCTACAAATGGTCAAACTTAAGAAATGTGAAATTTTTTGTTCGAGTTTTTACGATATTAACAGACGTCTTACAGTCATAAATGGTTTAAAAGTTTGCCGACCAGTAGCTCACAATATATTCAATGTCTTGGTGTATTTTCAAAATATTTTTCTATAAACTAGTGTAATTCGTCACTAGCCTGATCGATCTATCCATGCCAGATGGACTGTCTGTCTATTTGAACACTAAAATGTGGGGTTTAGGTAAAGGAGTTCTGACTGAAATCATTATACTCTATGCAAGGGTATACAACATTTGTTAAACAAATTATTATACGTCCTATACAGTTTCTGTAATATGATAAGGTTTTAGGTGCACGCCAAAGGTGCTTGCCAAATTGAACTTCTTTTCGGGTTTTTATACCCTCGCAGGGTATATCTTGACATATAACTTTTTTTAATATTTTAGAATTTTCAATTAAATTAAACGAAAATCGAACGACTTAAATATAGTACAAGTGTAGACAACATTTTTTTTGTAAAGTATACTTAAGTAGGTCTCAATTAAACATTTTTGTTAGAGACTATTTTTCAAATTAAGTGCAAATATCTGCAAGGGTATATAAACTTCGGCTGGCCGAAGCTAGCTCCCTTTCTTGTTTTTTTTAGTTGTCAGCGGGTATCTTTAAGTCGATTCAGTCGAGAGCGCTTTTTTCTTGGTTTGTTTTGCTGTATTCTGTTGACATTGACATTTGTTGATGCTGACAGTATTGCGACGATCTACAATTCAGGGCAAGCCTAACTACATTGTTTTAGAGGGCGAGATCAAAAGTGTTTTCGTCTTCAGGATGTTCAGCTGAATGCTTCCTGTGCGTTCTTTTCGCTGCCTGCCAATCTGTCTCAAGAGCCTTCTGTGTAGACTCGGCAGTGAAATGTTGCCTTGCTGCCGAGCGTAACTCTTTGTTAAGAGCCGCTGCCTTGAGATGAGATTCCATCTCAAGACAGATATATAATCTTGATTACGTGGTGAACATATATGAGAAGTTCAATGGTCAGCTGAAAGACACCTTCAACTTCTGCGTTCGTAAAACTACATTTCAAGATTTTTCTGCTGATCTGGCAGGGGTCATTGATTAGGCTAACGCTTGACATAATTGCGGGCAATCAATTCCAACGCATACTGCCCACAATAAATTAGCCAGCAAATTTTCCATCCACCGTTATGTTTTCTGTCTGAATCATACGGTTCCAAAAACTTGTTTACTGAAGTGATAACTAGCACCTGCCTCTTGTTTCCACAATATATATATACATCTACCTCTCGATAGTATACATTTCAATTATAAACGTTTAAGGACCATTAGACTGGAAACCTCAAAGAAGACGACAATGTTGCCTAAAATTGTCGACTTTGGGTATCTTTCACACGTTCAGTTCTTGCGTGATTCTATAAAAACGTTCCATGAATTTCGAGTGATTTGCTTTCCTCCAACTCATTCCATCACATTCAAATCGCATAAAACATTTCGAACGGCTAATATGTTCCATGCACACGCCGCATAGTGTTTATATGGAATTTAGGAGGATTGCATGATTGGCGAACATCTAAAAATAATATTCAAGGCTTCCCTTAGCAGAACAGAATAAAACTTATGAGTTTAAATCGCCATCGTATTTTATTTACATTTTGTGGCCATGCACTATTTATTGCTGTGGATAAGAAGTAAACAACAGCCGACATTAAATTTCCGTCAGTGATATTTCAGACCTAGCAATCAGCGGAGCATAGAAACAGTAGAGAAATTCGCAAGAAGGCGACCAAATCTTTCCCAACTTTCCAGTACTGAAACGTTTTCTCTCCTCACAGCTGCTAAATCCACTTACCAAAACGAGGAAGCCATCATGACGGCCATGCCCGTGGTTTGGTGCACCGATCCCAATTCGGTGAACAACAAGCCCACAGCCTTCGCCCTGCACGGCATCCAGCTGCAGGGGAATGTAACCGAGAAGCAGGTTCACGCCCTCCGTGAGCTGGTAAACGCCGCCGCCGAGGGCCGACTCATCCTGCCCTCGGACGGCACCTTCACCCTGCTGGACAGTGGTCTCAGTATAGAGAGCTCAATCGTGGAACAGGAGTCGAGAAGCTCGATTGGCCCCGGTGAGCTTGGTCCGCTGGCTCAGCCGAAAACTTCCAAGAACACGTACATTCTGATGCCCGTGAGCAAGGCGGAGAGCTCCCGACAGGGAGCGGGAACATTGCCCGGAGGCGTAGGAGCGTCCGGAGAGGCGATTGCCGCTGCTGCCGCCCAGCTGGAGTTTCTGCTGGAGCCCAAGTATTCGCCCACGCCCGAAGCCAATCCGGATGCGGAAGCCAGTGCAGAAGTGGCCGAGGGCGGTGCGACGGGAGAGGTTCTGTATGAGTTCCTATGCTGTGCCAAGTGCATGAACGAGCAACGGACCGGACTATCCTGCGCCGGGCGACGCTTGCAGCGTTACTTGAGGACCTGTAGCGGTGGAAGTGGCAGTGGCAGAAGCAACGACTACGAGCCGGTCAACGACCCCTCTACGTGGCAGCTGCAAGTGGATCCCGTCAGCAGCATTGCCAGCAAGTACGCCCGCAGACAGCAGCGTCACAGGCAGCATGGCACTGTCTCCATGGGCATCGCGCGAAATCGCACCCATCGTCATCACAAATTACCCATGCACAGTGTTAAGATCTTTCATAATCGCAGCACTTACATGCCAGCAACTACAGCAATGACAGCAACTACAGGAGCAATGGCAATACCCGGGCCGGTAGCTTGCCTTGTGGGAGGCCGCGATTCAGCGATTCCGAGTCCGAGCTCGAATACGAATTCCAAGCCCGGCCCAGCGATTAGAGCGATCGTCGGCAGTGAAGCGTTTAGTCTGTTACCGACAGCGGCACGATCCACATCGCTGACAGAAACATTGGCACTGTCGAATCCGACTGCAACTTTGGTGCCCCACTACGCTGTGGTAAACAAAAATCGCGACATCGCGAGCGGTGACAAGACTGAGGAGGTATCTGCGACAACAATGCTGGCCGTAGTGCCCGAGGAGCCTTCGCAACACCCGGCAGAGGGGCGCGACCTGATCAGCTTTGACGACGACCAGGCTCAGGTGGGAGTTGAGGTGGGGGCTGTAGGCCAGCAGGCTGGAACTGCTCTGGACCTGCTGTGCGCCCCCAATGGGGAGGACACTCTATTGGCCCTGTTGGAGACCCCGCCAGCCACTCCGCCCAAGCCCAGCTCCCCCGGAAGCAACAACTCGAGCCGCAAGACCAGCTTTGATTCCACCAGCACCCTTAGCTCCATGGACTCTGGTTTCATGGAAATGCAGATCAAATTGGATGCCATGGCAGCAGCAGCGGCGGTTGCAGCAGCGTCTTCAGGCGAGGCAGCAACAGCGTCGCCAAGCGGCGATAAAATCGAGCGACGCAACTACAAGGAGTGCCTCACGCAGTCGCGGAACCGCCGAAAATCATATGAGGAGTTCAAAGCGATGTTTGTTGAACTCGCTGCGGAAGCAAACATTCCGGCGTCCATGCCACCGCCGGTGGCAGCAGCAGCAGCAGCAGCAGATGACGCAACAACAGCCAGCAACACTGTGATCCCACTTTCTTCCATTTCAGAACAAGAAACCCCAGGCATCCAGGGTGTGAGAGGCAAACCGGATTGCGCAAACGAGTTTGCCGCCAGTGCCGATGAAATGGATACCGGCGACGGTGACTGCGATGGTGAAAAAGGCGCTGCCGCCGAAGGCGATCTAGCAGCAACAACAGCCGCAGCAGCAAGACCTTTAGTCAGCAGCACCACCACAGAGGCGATGAGAAAGAATTCGGATTTTCTATCGCAGATTCTCGATCATAAATTTGCTGCCAAGGAGCGAGCCAAGGCCCACAAGCGTCGCACTTCGTACGAGGAATTCAAGCGTCTGGTTAACGAAATTGAGCCACTGGAATGCCCGGACGCCCCACCACTCGCCCCGTCGGTTGTGGTCGAGTCCACGACCGCAACGGCAGCAGCAACGTCGCCATTAAAGCGCCAGAACTCGCGACAACGTAAAAGCTTCGCCAGCTACTTTCTGCCGCGCCGGCACTCGACCAAAGAACAAAAGACTGACAAGGAGAACTGCTCCCGGGATATGAATGTGCCGACGCACGAGAAGCAGCTGGCGGTCTACAGCAAGCTGCCGCCCAACAGGAGCAACGGCGGTGACAGCTCCGGGTCCCAGTCCCACTACAGGCGCAACTTCAAGATCTACGACAAGCTGGTGTACGGCACCATCTATGATATAATCCAGCGCAAGAACGATATCTACCAGAAGTACGATAAGTACATGACCTACGGCACCATCTACGAGATCCTGCACCGCAAGTCCTCGCAGTGTGGCGACCGCTGGCAGCGCAAGAGCCTCAGCTCGATTCTGGAGGGCGGGCGATCCTCGGGGGATATCTACGACATCGTCCAGAAGAGGGAGCGCGAAAAGCTGCGTCAGCAACGCACCCTGGAATCCCCGGCTACAGTGTCCACGATCAGTCCCCACAAATACGGAACGATCTACGACATTCTGCAGGGCGAGAAACTAGATGCAAGTCATGTCAGTAGGAAGCTAGATCCCAAGCCCCCATTGGCTAAACCAACGCGCTTCGTGGTTAGTCAGGTGGAGGAGCCAGTCCAGACGCCCCCGACAGAGCAGCTGGAGTCATCTGTCCCGGATCGGTGTGCTGCGAAGCCCAGCAAGCCACACAAAATGCGCCGTCTTTCCCACATCCTGAGTTACAGTCGAAACGCTGGCGACGATCAGCAGGATGCGGCTGGTAAGGAGGAGGCCAAGCAGAAGCGCGCCGAGGCCAAGAGGCGGATCGGGGTGACCAACCTGTTGCTGCCACTGGACTCTGAGGAGGTGTACACCCGCATCATCGCCCAGCAGCGAAGGCTTGAGAAGGAGCGTGCCCAGGACCCAGAGGCGGAGAGTGGAAGCGATGCAGAGCCATGTGCTCGCACCGCGTTGACCAAGTCCAGCTCGCTGGATGCCATCTCCTTGTCGGTCGCTATTTCACCCGCGCCCTCGCCCTCTCCCCCGCGTCCCCGTCGCAGTCTTAAGCAGCACCGCTGCCTCCAGCAGCGCCAGCAAATGCCCCTGGCCAAGAAGCACTCGCTGGACAACTGCCTCCAAATGGCATCGGCGCTCCCCAGCCGGCAGCCACTGCGGCGCTGGTCCAACCAAACACCCCTGAAGTGTACCTGCCAACACACTGGCGAAGAACTTTCGCTGACCGCCAACGAGAAGTCCCGCTCGCTGCCCACCGCCTGCTTCGCTCCCTGCTCTCAAACGTGTACGAACTCAAGTCCAATCGACCGGAGCGCCGCCACTACAAAGTCCTTCGGAAAAACGTCGTCGACGATGGCCAAGAAAGGCAAATCGCGTCGACTTTCAGAATTTACGCGCGGTGAATTTTTAAATGAAAAATCGTAAGTTTAGCCTCCAACTACAGCCGCACGTCCCTCATTCACCTGCCCTGCTCCCCCATCGAAAGCTATTCTCGTATTCTAGTAAATAATTTCTGGTAATGCGGTTATTCCACTACATTGGTCGGCTCATTCATTAGAACAATTTTTTCTCAGCCTATACGATTTTACGTAGGTGCGAGCAAGACAGATATATGTCAGCTGCAATGAGCAATTAATGAGCAAAATTTTAAAAACCGAAGGCCACCATTTTATTTTTTTTTGTATGAGCAAAATTGAATCTAAAAAGTACAATTTTGCTCATTTATTAGAGCTACTGTAAATCGGATCTTGCTCGCACCTACGTAAAATCGTATGGGCTGAGAAATAATTGTACTAATGAATGATCCGAACGATGTAGTGGAATAACCGCATTAGAGCATAGTCAGTTAGTTATTTCATTCCATTTCCATATTTCCACTTGATGATCTATCGAAAACTGAACTTCATTAAAATAGAATTCTGGATAGTTTTGAACCCTCAAATAGCTTAGAAAACACTGATTTTATATCCATGCGTAATAGTATCAATTGAAAATTACGGCCAGTTCATTCATTCACATTTCTTATGCCAAAATTTTCCACTGCAACAGCAATTCGTGAAACAAGCGCAACTTCAAGGCCAAAACGCTTCAAATTGGTTCAGCGTTGGGAATTTGCATATCAATGCGAACAGAAAAAATGTCTGAGCAAACTCCACTACACGTGCTGCCCAGGCCAATCCAAATCGGGCTAAGTGAAGCACTCGCAGAGGCCAAACGCAAAGCCCAAGACGCACGTTCGGCACCTCCCTCCTTGCCCATCATCGATTTCCAGCTCCACCGCCCACTTGTCCATTCCGGGCGGAGGAGGGGAAACATTCAAAAATGTGTTGAACAATGTTTGTTGCCGTTTAATTAATGAAAAAACAAAAACTGTCACGACTTTCGTCGCCTAATGAACTTCTTCTTCGGCCAGTAAATGAACGGTAAAAGCCCCCCCTCAAAAATTGTACGTTCATCCGAATATAGCAGGTTAATAACGTTAACTTAACGATGGGACGTGCTCGAACGTCTCTCTCGCTCGCACCCGCACACACGACATTTGTGGTTACAGCACTCGAATCGAGTGGCCAATAGACACGGTTAGGGAGAGGAACAGACAGTCATATTCGCCTATTTGGCTATAGACACTCCCTCTTCACCCAAGCTCACGGTTCTAATTCATCCAAACTTCCCGTTTCGGATAAAGTGATCTGTTCAACGGTGTATTGGCTGCCCTCTGTTTTGGATTGTCTATAATATCAACGACTTTGCTTTCAAACGATTGCCTTCTTAACGCCTTATTATTGCGAATAGCTCAGACATTACTCACCATTGTTGTTGATTGATTTTCCCCAGAACGAATTCCAATTACCAGACATTGGCAAACTGCTTGCAACTTATTAGCAGTCTAGTTAGGGAAAGATTGCCAATCAAATCTAATGGCTTGAAACAGTTGCTAAGTTCCGAAATATATAAGTGAATATGTGGAATAACAAAAATGTATTCAATATTTATTTCTACGTTTTAGGAAATTAATTTTTTTGTAATTTTGAGGGGTGTTAATGATTCTTCCCAATACCAATTTCTAGGAGAGACCATAGAAAGTTTTTTTGTTGGGATATAATAATAGTTTTGTAGTTGGGCTGTATCTTTATTTTCTACTTAAGGATAATGGCAGATTCTGCACCTTCAACAGACTATCTTGGGTTGCGCAACCAGCATTGGGGTAAACACCCACCACTCGTACTAATCTCAGTCATTTTAGTGACATTGTCACTGCCGGAGCTACAAGTTATAAATTGTCTTGCTCCCACAAATTAAAAAACCATTAGAAGTGCAGCGGAACCGCCGATTGGCGTGTTTAAGTGCAGTTTCGTTTCAGTGACAACGTTTCTAGCATGCCCAAACACCGCACTTAAATGATATAGCAGACTATGACCGAATTCGATCCAGAGCAACAGAAAACGGACTGGGTGCGGTTGGGAGCTTTGTATTCATCTCTGATTAGTGTGTACTTTATTAAGGTGGTCTCTATTCCGTCGATCTACAGTCTATCACTTCCTGTGGTCAGTCACTCCTGGGCTTATGTAAGCACGGGCCTCGAATTAAATGCGTTGGCAGAAGCAGAAGTGATCGCTAATGATGTGTTCGTATGTCATCAGATGACGGCAGGCTGATATTAAGTATACGAAAAGGTAGCCTGGGCAATTACTTTTTCAGAGTTCCCCGAAGCGGAACGCAGCTTTGGACCTGCCCAAACTAGCAATCGTTGTTCCAATGTGCCGTATTTCAATTCGTTCTGCTTTTGCACATGATACTCATAGAAAAGTCTCGAACGAGCATTTAAATCGTGTCAGGCTGTGGATAATGAAAATTACACTGAATTGCCTCATGTTTTAAACGACATTGGATTCAATATACTTACCCCCTCCCCTCGGAACTCGAGAAGCGGCCAAAAAGTTCTCTCGCATGTCTGAGCAATTAGGAGCTAGGAAAGTGTTAACAGAATACGTATCCGGAACTTGATAATTTTCTGGTCCCCCATCGAATCGCTTAAAGAAATGGCAATGGCGGTAGTGGTATTAGCGCTTTCTAGCGAAGGGAAGGTACCCCGCTCACAAGCCAGCATTAACAAATTATTTATCTATAAAAACAATATCTATTGCCCCAGCCGAACCAGACCAAGCCATGCCTGGCCGTATTTATTTTTAGATGCATCGAACTGGTTGCGTTTCCAGCTGCTGGTTGTCTGCATCGATTTGGAATTTGTGCAGCAGTGTTTCTGTGTGTTGCACGCTGCTCACTCCGTCTTAGGCATCCTGTCCTGTCCGCAGTCCGGCTCAATTAAATGAGCCCCATGTCCAGCAGCTCGCATTGCACAGCCAAGAAAAAAGCATTTGAGCAGCCACATTGTTATTATTCGATCTATCCATTTATGCACCGCGGTGTGTGCTTATTTAATCATCATGTCCCGATTGGCTCTGCCGCCAACTATGAAATTGCATTGGAAATTCACTGCAACCGGCGCCATCCAATAATTATGTGTGGCTCCAATCGCTTTAACTTGAATTGGCCTGGCTTGGTTTGGTTTTAAAAATAGACACATGCTCCGCCGGCCAGTTGTGGTCCACAACTGTCAATTGCCGAGTCCGTCTGCAAAGCCCGAGATGGTCAATAATAGTAGCTGAATTGGCAATCTCGACTGCCGGAAACGAATATAATTTTAGGCAATTTAGGCAACTCCACAATGGTGGAGTACTTCTGTTAAATCACACTCCCAGTTGTCATGAAAGGGGAAGAAATGCGTGACAGCAGCGTAAAATCTTTTTTACAACCTAACTAACATGTTCCCCGCAAGAATCAACCTATAGTCATATTATTGAGACCAATAAGCAAATTGCTACTCAATCTGTTTGTCAACCCTCTTGTTGATCGCTGTTAAACAAGGAAGATGCAATCAGCAGCTTCTGTTTTGAGTACTGAGCACATGCATGGTGTACCAATACCTTTGCATAGGTCAATTGTTGATTAATAGTTGATTAATAGCAATGGTGCTTGCCTATACTCGTTTTCAGAGCCGTAGTTTTTCCAGGTTAATCCAATTCGTGATCTGGCATTTCCCGCCAACAACGTTACGGTAATTCTACATCTTTAAATGCCTTTTCAAAGTGTTCGATTTGCATCCCTAATATTATAGCTATATTTGCGTTTTGACAGATTCAAATGAGGGCTTTGTTTATAGAGTGCATGTAAAGAAGCTCTCTTCCCTCAAGTTCGCAAGTTCAAGTACAAAGCCCAAATTTATAAAGTTTTATTTTGCATTACAAAAAATTATAAAAGCATCTACTGATATCTGATAATTACAATAAACCGCAAGCCATCCGCCACAGGCCGTTATAATAATTGATCAAGTGCTTCTTATTAAATATGGGAAAAGAAATACGTGAGACGTTCAGCGGATGTTGGGTATCTGTGGCCAACACCTAATTATAGAGAAAGTGACAGTGCAGGAGCCGAGCTGCATGTCTGCGTATCAGGTACAAGCGTAACTAGCACTTGGAAGAGAAAAGGCGGGACAGAGCTGGGATGGGGATTTTTGGCATGCAGGAATTCACTGGAAATATCCGATGGGTAATACTTTAAAATTGATTAGCCCGATCATGGGAAACTGCTTGGACAACAAATTAGCAAATGCAAATTTCAGCCACTTGTTAAAGCCGAAGATGGAGATCATCACCTGGGCAGTTCACACCGTCTCTTACTCATACTCGTGACGTGTTAAGAACCAAACCGAACCGCACCAACCCGTTTCGAAGGTGTCCGCTAACAGACTGCACAAACAAAGCCGGTGGACTCCGCCATGACCTGCTTCAATGAGTTTTAGTAGTGGCACCTCCGGAATGGGGAATAGAGAGCGACCACAAACGATTGACAGCGGTTGACGGGGCCAAACCGTTGTTGGAATCTATTCGAACTGCCAACGTTTGTAGCGTCTGGCCCAATTGCCTAGAGTGAATGGAAACGGGTACGAGGAAATTGGTCCGAGAGGCTCGGCCAAAGGCTCTGAGGCAAACTAGTGTCAATCAGTCCACAACGGGCTCGCCTATGGGCCAACTCCATTTTGCTAGCACCGGGCCCAAAGAGGTTTGAGCCAGAGGCCTAAGAGACGGACTGGCGGATTGTTAATCTAATTTTAACTCAAAAGTGCATGCGTCCAGGCTGAGTGCAATTAAGTTACCTCCTAAAACTAGACAAACTTGTTGCCACTAAGATCGTACATGCACATTGCCATCGTCGTTCCATGGCCAAAAAAAGGCCCACAGCCATGTTGGGGCGTAGAAATATTATAGAGAAAAAACGAAATTCCCCCGTGCCTCGAATGTTGTTGCGCATATTTTTAGACAAAATCGAATAACACGGGCATGCCGTGTTTAAAAATAGCTCCAAGTGGCTGCAAGTCGGAGACTCTATCTTATGGAAGCTGCGCATGCGCTTGGTTCCACTTAATTTTGGCTTTGGCTGCTGAGCTTAGTTTGGTTTGGTCTTTGGTTTCGTCGTGGCCAGTCTATATATAAAAAATCTGGTTCTAGAACCGACTTGAAACTTCTCTAGGCTACAGGAATGTACAAATTTGTACTGAATGTTTAAATTGCTCTTTAAGGAACGCAGTTATTACAAACAGTAGATCGACAGTTTGAGTATAAGACTTTCGCTTGCTACATATGCTTGAAAAGAGCAGACAGTATTCGTTGTGGCACATGGGGATCGAGAGGTATCATGTTTTTTGCGCTCCTCATCCGGCTGGAACGGCTCACCAGCGGCATTAGCTGCTCCTAACAGCTACGACAGGATGCCCATTACCGTCGTCGACTTGTCTTGTGTGTAATTAAATCGTGTTGCATATTTATGAAAGTCATGCATGCACATAAATGGTCGGAGCACACCGGGCTAACTCGACCAGGCCAGGAGAGTATCTATAAATACGCTCCAATGGCCACCAGTCTGTACAAGGATTGGGCCGATCCCCTGGCAGCGCATTTAATGGCGTCTAATAAACGCTTATTGGCGTAATAGACACGTGCTGGCGAGGATTCAACCTGCTTTCGGTCTATGCCTCGTCAATCAATCAAACCGTATGGAAACACGCCTTCCACACATGAGCATGTTCAGTCAAGGCATCATCCTGTTGACTGGCAAATTGCCGGATGACTTTGTTGCAACTTGAACTGGCTGCTGCTTCGGACGATGATGTGATGATGGTGGCGGTTGGATAGCCGTTCTACCGCCTTCTGGGCAAACAGACATTAAATTAAAGTTGGCCGGCTTGCAAGTTATTTAACTGCTAGAGTCGTAGTTCCTTTAATAACACCTCTGATTGGGCTTGCGAAATCAGAATTATGTATAAGCTCTACGACTCGGCTGCAGTTGCAAGCAATGGGATAATGGTCACAGTGCATCTGATTTCGATATACAGAAATGACGGTCGCTTTTGGTTTGGCTAAATTTCATATTTTTATACGCATTGAAAAGAAAATTCATGTTTCTACCTGTCCCCATATAGTGTGCAAAGTTTGTTCGAGGAGCGGCTAACCCATATAAAGGCATACACATATCACGACTTCATCATTTCTCGACTCTTAGTGTGTTGCGCAGATTTGGCCACTCTTTTGTCATCATCCGTTATCTGGCGTCCGTCACGAACTTCAAAATGTGAATCGGACTGTTATGTAAGAGATCTGTCACACACATCTTTTAATTGACCACCTCGCTGCGGCGAAAAGAAAGAAAAATAGACGAAGAGAGAGGGAGAGAGAGTGAGACAGCGAGACCACATCCAGTTACTTATCTTTATTAAGGTCAATGTTAATGCTGCATGAAATGGGATTGAAATGTTCGTGTTTTGACAATTCACTTCGACACCTGCGGCAACAACATAGTAGTAAAACCGTGCCAAACTGATTGCAGGTCTTGGCAGCAAGTGCATCTGAAGATGCTCTTTTCACCGTTTCATTTCCTTCCGACTCCACATCCTTTAGCCATATATCATACAGTGCAATGTAAACGCATTCCAAACACCTGGAATTTCCTTAATTGCTTAGTTATTATTCGGAAGTGACATTTAACTGCTCATGAAACCTCCAGCTGAGAATTTAAATGAAATTGTTATTAAAATAAAACACATATAGCGGCCAAAGCCAATTGTATAATGACTAAATTATAGCACTGGAGGCGAGGCACAAAGAGAAAATGAATTGGGCAGTTTAAAATAAGCAGTTCATACCAGATAAGACATATAAATGCCCAGTTACATAGATGGAGAGTTTCTAGGCCTCCCACGCGACTTCTAAGTCTCTCCCTTTCTCCGCATCCATATTTTAGAGCGGGAGGAACTGGCGGCATAAAATGGTGTAGCCTCGATAGACCGATTTCCTTAATAAAGTTACCCGATTTACGACAAAAACAAATAATTTTATTTTTTTTCACATTTCTTACTTGCCTGCCATACTAATAGTTTCCTTCTCACCGATTTTCGCTTTAATTGCAGCTGGTACTTCCGCAAAATCAAACGTATTGAGGCTGAGAAAAAACTTCTACTGCCGGAGAACGAGCACGGTGCATTTTTAATTCGCGATTCCGAGAGCCGTCACAACGACTATTCGCTATCAGGTGCGTGCCCACCTAGACATTCAATTAGCATTATTGTGCATTATATTTACTGGGTATTAATGTGGTTGTGTCCGAATGGTTTTTGCAGTGCGCGATGGCGATACAGTTAAGCACTATCGCATCAGACAATTGGACGAGGGCGGCTTCTTCATTGCCAGGCGCACGACTTTCAGGTAAGTTCCCACCAAGTTCTCCAAGTATGGAACCGCACTTACACCTCTTTGCACTCTTTCAAACAGAACCCTTCAGGAGCTGGTCGAACACTATTCCAAGGACTCGGATGGCCTCTGCGTCAACCTCTGCAAGCCGTGTGTCCAGGTAAGCCCACAAGCTAATGAGGCCGCTGTAGCCATTGTTTGCTTTGGTTTAATCGCGCATTGTACATCCGAATTGCCGCCAAATGTGTGGATGCGTGGGATGATAACATTTGCATTGCATCACATTGTTATGCCTTGGTTTGTTCATTTCGAAATGTCCAACACGTGTATACTAAATCTGTTTTATATTTTCCTTGTATTTCTTTTATTAACACCAAATTATGTCTGTAAAATAATAACAATACAAAACGATAACCAAACCAACTTGAATATAATCAAAATCAAAAGACAAATTCTTTTTCGGGTGTCTTTGAGGTAGGATTTCTATCTAAGACGTTATGATGTGCGTGTGTGTTTTTCCCATTAACACAAAAGTACCAAAAACCAGATTCCATTCTGTCACCGCCAATCAACACCCTCACAAAGAATTAAATTAACCGATCATATTCCACATATGTTCAATCAACTCACTGCCAAAAGCAGGTGGTCCCCATGTGTACAGCCATACAGTCAGTGTTAAAATTTCAGTCGAGACGATTCCTGGCAAATGACATTCCTTACCACCATTTCGCGCTGAATAAGGCCATAAACATAAACCATCGCGTGTCAAATTAATGTAAAAACGCAGTGAAGGGAAGCAGAGACTTGTGACCGAGTTGCTCGGCTAAAATGTTTTTGTGCACCTAACAGCGATATCTAGAAGTTAAAACTGATCTTTTGCACTCTGACTGTTTGGCATTGAACCCCGAATAAAAGCCCTGTAATCTACTCACATCCGCCCTTGCTAATGGAACTGAAAAAGTAACTTGTAAATAAGGCCTAAATGTGCGCTACAAATTCATTACTAAATTGGCACGATCATTTATTCAAGCTGAACACTGCTGCGCCTAAAGATGTGCAATAGCAAAGGCGTTTACTAACTAATTTCTCTGTCGCAGATCGAGAAGCCTGTTACGGAGGGACTCTCGCACCGCACTCGCGATCAGTGGGAGATCGACAGAACATCCCTAAAGTTTGTGCGGAAGCTGGGCTCTGGACAGTTCGGCGACGTCTGGGAGGGACTATGGAACAACACGACACCTGTGGCCATAAAAACTCTGAAATCTGGTAAGTCCGCAGCCGACCAACTGCGCTCAGAACGGATCACTTATGTTTGCTTCTGCTTTTAGGCACAATGGATCCCAAGGACTTCTTAGCGGAGGCCCAGATCATGAAGAAACTGCGCCACACCAAGCTCATACAGCTGTATGCGGTATGCACTGTGGAGGAGCCCATTTACATTATCACCGAGTTGATGAAGCACGGTTCCCTGCTGGAATATCTCCAAGGTATGCCCCGGATAAGAGTACGGGGATGAGTCTCACCCCAACATTGTTGCTGCTTGCATTAACCAAGATTTAACAGAGCACTGTGTACACCTTTTTCATGCCACGCAACTTGAAACAACCAACCAACCGCTCGCTTATCATGTCATGACAATTGCTTATTTTTGTTTTTAATATCTTTTAGCCATTGCAGGCAAAGGTCGTAGCCTTAAAATGCAAACTCTGATTGATATGGCGGCGCAAATAGCTGCTGGCATGGCCTACCTGGAGTCCCAAAATTACATCCACAGAGATTTGGCGGCGCGCAACGTGCTTGTTGGTGATGGCAACATCGTCAAGATTGCCGACTTTGGCTTAGCCAGGTAAGTGGGCCTTGGGTTATGCTTCTTAATTTCAATAACAACCTAAATCTTCAATGTGCAGGCTCATCAAGGAGGACGAGTACGAGGCCCGAGTGGGCGCCCGCTTCCCCATTAAATGGACGGCTCCCGAGGCTGCCAACTACAGCAAGTTCTCAATCAAATCCGATGTTTGGAGCTTCGGTATTCTACTCACAGAATTGGTCACATACGGACGCATACCATATCCAGGTTAGTCACAACCCCGACCGGCTCCGAAACTCGCAAGAATCTAATCATACAATTTTTTCATCGTATCAGGCATGACCAACGCCGAGGTCCTTACGCAAGTGGAGCACGGCTACCGTATGCCGCAACCGCCGAATTGCGAGCCGCGCCTGTACGAGATTATGCTGGAGTGTTGGCACAAGGACCCAATGCGCAGACCCACGTTTGAGACGCTGCAGTGGAAGCTGGAGGACTTCTACACATCCGATCAAAGCGACTACAAGGAGGCGCAGGCCTACTGATAAATGCTTCATGGAGTCACGGACGCGTCCAGCAGCCGTGGCGAGAAGCAAGACAGCTGCATATAAACGCCGGGCATCCCAAAACGGACAATTCTTTCTAAGTTACTTACTTGAGTTTTGCATAGATTTTCTACTGCTGCACACCCAATGGCCCTCGTTTGGTGCTCTTGGATGTGCTTGTCTAGGTAACTCCATATGATACGATTCATGTTATTAGCGTTTAAGCTAACAAATAGTTGCTAAGGTGGAATGCAATTTCAAAGGACGTTCCGTTGGGACATTCGTTTCTGTTGTTTATTATGACAAACATATTGATACTTGATCGAATTAATACATCTGACATTCCTGTCGTATTTTTCGATCAATATCACATGTATTATTATTCATATGAAGCATATAGCATACACATACCCGCATACACACTTATATATAACTGAAAACACATATATATAAATAGATATACAACCGTATAGTCAGATGTATGCCGAGGACCCTTCATTATTCTTTATTTTGTAGGCCAATCTGAGAACAATATTTGCAGCATATAAATATCAACGAAGGATTCGCTTTTAGTTAATTCATTACGTACGTGTCTTACCCTAACTCTCACTCTACATTATCAACGACATTATATGCTTTATCACAAATAGAAAAAATAAAAAGCAACATAAACGCCAATCATCAAGTGCTAGCTATACGCTACTTTGCCGTGCGCAACAGCTAAAATCCATATGATTAATTTTCTTAGAATTTAATTGTAATTTGTAACCATTAAATAATATTCAGCTTATGATTAAACACACATATACATATACGAAAACATGTACATTTAGAACCAAGAAAATAAATTTCTTCATAATTTATAAATATAAAATCCAAGCCAATTCTATGAAGTGAAACCTCTACCTTTTGTTGTACCAATGTAGAGGGTGTTATAATTTTTGTCAGCTGTTTTAAAAGCAGTGAAAGATGATCGTTGGAAAGATTGAGGGCAAGAAACGTCAAATATTTCCGTTAAAACTTTGTATTTGCAGACGTTTTGGTTAGAAGGAGATGTGCAGTGAATATATATTTCTGACCGTTTATATATTCTTGACCATACAACAATAGCCGAGTCCGATCGTTGTCTGTTCAAAATGGGAAATTGGAAAAGATTTTGAGAATAATAATTATAAAGATTTTAGTTTGTTTTAGGCCAAAATGATGGTCTATCATTGGTAATTTTGTATTTATAATTCCAAATATAGGATTTTGAATTTAGACGGAAGCTTAGATGGTGCACAAGCTTCGGATGGCCGAACTTTGTAATACATTGCTTAGGTGAGTATGTATGTGAAAGGTTAGAAAATAATGAATTTATTTGTACACCGTAGGCTTCATTATCAAAATTAAGCTACCGGAAGGGGAGGCAGAAAAAGTATTTTTACCAATTCGAATGAACTTTAATAAGAAGAATGCATTAAACGAAGGCTGATTTATTATTATATGCTAGCCTTAGTATGAGTTTTTATGTGGTCTATGTAGTACATTGTACATACTATGACTGTGTGGACTATGAATTTGACTTATATATGTACTGATATGCACAAAGTTTTCAAGTATAGATGCCGTAATGCCACTCACAACTTTAATCAAAGCATAACGAGTTCATCGAACCTCTCAACTTATTAATAATATTCTAAAGGTGAATAATGCACGGATATCTTACACGTGTAAAGAAATTATATTGCTAATAGTCGATTGATTTAAACTTTCAAATATATGTATATTAATCGAAGCCGGTAGCCATGAGGTGCGAGCTTCCATCCAAGTAATCTAGAAACTAAGAAAATATGCTTACCCTATTTGAAGATATATAAATAAAGTAAACAAATTATTTTTAAATCATTTGCTTTGATCAATGACATGCATATATGGACATCGGCGGCCAGCGTAGTCGCTCTACTCACTAATCGACTTCTGGCCATAGTTGATTAAATTTGGTCAATGTGATTCTCCGGACCAGATCACCAGTAGATTCGTTAGAGTCCCATAAAATGTCACTCTGTGCGCCTCACTACCAAAGTGACAATGGGATGGGTTGCGGCGACGACCCCGCCCGTAAACGAACTCGGGCAAACAATGCCAATTGATGACAACGACAACTACTCCAAACATTCGTGAGTGAGTCAATAATGCGGCTTTGTTTTCGCCTCGATTTGCAGTGGCCAGTGCGAGTGCGCGTGCGATTTTCAACCACTATTTCCTTATAAGGCAATGCTGCTGCAGCTGTTTTTGGGGTTTCACTTGCTTCACTTGCAATCAATCAACGTAAAAATACCGCTAAGTCTGGGCGGGGTCGTGCGATAAGCGGAGCGAGTCCAAGCTGAATCACACCCCATGCACAGATATCCGTTTCGGCGGAAATCGCAGGCAGAGCTGACCAATTGTTTGTTATCAACCCACTTCCTGCCAACCGATGTTGGCTCGCATCTGACTCAAAATCGAGAGCAGACCTTGCCTTATTAGTAATAGCTTTATCGCAGCTGACGCCCTCGCCAACGCATGCCAGTGGAATGAGCGCATAGCAATCGATATATCACTGCCACAGATCGCCGCTTAGTCATGTATTAGCCAAGTGCTAGCAGAAGTGATTCGAGCCAGGGTGTTTTCAGTTCTTTTCCTCACTTTATTATTAAAAAGCGGTTACAAGTATTTTAGTGGTATGGTATGTTTTATTTTAATACATATGTAGGAATGCATGGAAGTAATGGAAATGCCAAATATGAATTGATTTTATAAACGCCAATGTGCATGTGAACTTCATTTTCGAATAGAACACAATGTGGGTGGCTTATGCGTAGGTGTACAATTGTGTATAAAAGTAGATGGAATGCATTCTTTTGAAGGGAGCGGGAGTGTTGTGCGGCTGCTCCCGGTATTAATGTACTCATGCCCAATACTTCTGACTCCCGTCCTTCGTCTGCAATGGGTGTGCTCTGTGTGGCACGACCACACCCAGCTCGGCTCCAGCTTAGAAGCACTTGCGGTGGACAATGGAGGGGCCGGACTCGTCGTACTCTTGCTTCGAGATCCACATCTGCTGGAAAGTGGACAGCGAGGCCAGGATGGAGCCGCCGATCCAGACAGAGTACTTGCGCTCTGGCGGAGCAACAATCTTAATCTTCATGGTGGACGGAGCCAGCGCTGTGATCTCCTTCTGCATGCGGTCAGCAATTCCCGGATACATGGTGGTGCCGCCGGACAGTACGGTGTTTGCGTACAGATCCTTGCGAATGTCCACATCGCACTTCATGATCGAGTTGTAGGTGGTCTCGTGGATGCCACAGGCCTCCATGCCCAGGAATGAGGGCTGGAAGAGCGACTCGGGGCAGCGGAAGCGCTCGTTGCCGATGGTGATAACCTGTCCGTCGGGCAGCTCGTACGACTTCTCCAGGGAAGAGCTGGAGGCGGCCGTGGCCATCTCCTGCTCGAAGTCCAGGGCCACGTAGCAGAGCTTCTCCTTGATGTCGCGCACGATTTCGCGCTCGGCGGTGGTAGTGAAGCTGTAGCCGCGCTCGGTCAGGATCTTCATCAGGTAGTCGGTCAGATCGCGACCAGCCAGATCCAGACGGAGGATGGCGTGGGGCAGGGCATAGCCCTCGTAGATGGGGACGGTGTGGGAGACACCATCACCGGAGTCCAGAACGATACCAGTGGTACGGCCGGAGGCGTACAGAGAGAGCACGGCCTGGATGGCGACATACATGGCCGGGGTGTTGAAGGTCTCGAACATGATCTGGGTCATCTTCTCGCGGTTGGCCTTCGGGTTCAGGGGAGCCTCAGTCAGCAGGACGGGGTGCTCCTCTGGGGCGACGCGCAGCTCGTTGTAGAAGGTGTGGTGCCAGATCTTCTCCATGTCGTCCCAGTTGGTCACGATGCCGTGCTCGATGGGGTACTTGAGAGTGAGGATACCACGCTTGCTCTGCGCCTCATCGCCCACATAAGAGTCCTTCTGTCCCATTCCGACCATTACGCCCTGGTGACGTGGACGACCCACAATCGAGGGAAAGACAGCCCGCGGTGCGTCATCACCGGCAAAGCCGGCTTTGCACATGCCAGATCCGTTGTCCACCACCAAAGCTGCAACCTCTTCGTCACACATTTTGCTTTTAGTTTAGATTGATTAGGATCTGCAAGGAAGAACGCCGGATATGTACACTCGAATCGAGGAGATGGGACAGCGGTTTTTGCCGCAAATGAAAAGTGGCCAAGTACAGGCAAAAAAAAACGCAGACGCACCCGCCTCCACTCCACTCGCCGTAAAACCAGGAAAAAAGGCGGGGCGGAGCAAAGGACTCTCGAACCCACAGACGAACAAAGAAACGGGTGGGAATCTTACCTTTTATGGAAGTATGAAAACGAGTAGCTTCTAACTATTCGCTGCGCAAACTTAGCACAATGACAGACGCTCTAAGATTGAATTGACCGACGCCTACTTTTTCGAGGTAAGTGGTTGAAAAGTAGTGTGACCATCCGCGTCGCAAAATAACGTGCTATTTACTTATCCAAAAATACCGAAAATCCACAACTGAAGGAACGGAACTAGTTTATGCGTTTCAGCCTAGTATTTACATCGGTTCAGGCCCTTTCTCTCATGGTATTCCCTAAATGTTAAAAATATCAGCAATTAAGGGAACGACCCAAAATGGTTCCAGTTGAATTTTAAACAGCTGTTAATTGTTGAAAAGTTTTACGGAACTTAAAACTTGAAAAATTTTATTTATTATTGCTAGTTACTGTCTTAAATTGTTACCAAGGTAAAAAGAACCACAAATATGCTTTCTAAGTTGATTTAAAAATAAATAATGCGTACTGGTGATACTAAAATGTTACAGAGTTGCCATGGCTTTTAATAAAAAAGGTGACAGCTCTGGTTTTCAACGAATCAACAAAATTTTCAACAGCCCCGAGGCTGTTGAATTGCTGAAATTTCTGAAAGTTGACTTTGTATGGAACAGCTGATCAAAATTCAACAATTCAGTAATTCAACAGTTTAGGAAATACCCTGTCTATTATGAACGCGTTGCGCCTCAAATCCCAATAAAACTTGCTGGTGAGGGAGGGGTGGAATATTGTCGAATTTGTGGTATTTTTCAGCAATAAGGCATGATAATTTTTTTGGACCCGAAAATGATACAAGCGGCATAAAGCGACTTATTGGCCGTTGCAGTGCCAGGCACATGGGCCATCTCCCTTTCTGCATAATACATAAAACTATGCTTCTTGATCACGTGCGCCCGCTATTAATCCATCAAGGAGATCTCCTGGTCGCACTTTAGGCAGCTACTACCAATGTGTTGTTCTGCGATCACAATAGTCAGTATTATTATTATTTAAATTTTTTGTTTTCTTTATCTCGCGATCAACTGTCGAACACAGAACAGCTGTTTTCAAACGCGTTTGCCGATGCAAACACCCCCGGATATCTATAGAAAAATCACAAAAATATTAAAAAAATCCGCATGGGGAAAAATACCTTTAGTTTAGTTAAGAATGCGCATTATGCAGTATGTGCAAATGTGTGCCAGTGGAGTAAAGTTATTAAATAAATATTTGGGTGGAATTGTTGTCGTTTCTCTTCAGTTGAAGAAATCCCTTTGTTTCAGCCCGGGTCGCCTCCCACCCCGCCCATCTTACACCACCAAATGCGATCTGATAGCGGCGGCTAGTCATCAACATGGTGGATATCAACTTGGAGTGCGTGCACCAGATAGAGCCAAAGACCCGCTCCTCGGAGCAGCAGCAGGACGCGGACTTGTACCTGGAGGCGGTGCGGATTCTGCTTGTGCTGCTGGAGAACGTGTTGGCGCAGCCGGAGAACTCAAAGTTCCGCACCGTTCGCCTGGAGAACAAAGCGATTAAAGAGAAGTTGCTCCCGCTGCCCGGCAGCGAAAAACTGCTAGACGCCATCGGCTTTGTCCGCGCCCCAGGCTCCAACGTCTACACCTTGCCCTCCGAAGTTTCCTTGGAGAAGGTGCGGAAGTACCGGGACGCGCTGAGCGAACGGCGCTCTGCTTGGCTCAGCGGAACGGTACCTAAGAGTAAGGCAATCCACCTTTAAGGCCAGATTATCCTAGTCTAAACATTAAGTTTCGGTAGGTTCGCAACAACAAAGCGCCGTCAGCATAAAACCGTCGCCGTTGTTCATCAAGCCTTCGGTGGAGTACCGTCAGCGAATCGCCTTTCCCCGTGTGCTGGTAAGCGAGCCATTGAACACGATTGATCTCGGCTGGATACTGAGCATGCAGCTTGTTTTTTAGCGCACCAACAACAACTTTCTGCAGTCGCTGGAGCTGTACTCCGATGCGGTCATGCAGTACGAGGACGAGCTTCTGCTCGCCACTGGACGCTCACTGATTCCCGTGGACGAGCTGACCGAAAAGGCGAGCGAGAGAATGATAGACATGCAGGAGCGGATTGCCTTAGGCGAATGCCAAGAAAAGGAGCCCTGTGTTCGCGACCTGCTGCTCGTGGAGCTGGTCAACTGGTTCAACACGCAGTTCTTCCAGTGGGTCAACAATATACCCTGCCGTGTGTGCGGCAGCGAGGAGAGCAAGCTGCGCCGCACCCAGCGGGAGGGTGATGTTCGGGTGGAGGTCAATGTCTGCTGCGGCCAAGAGAGCAAGTTCTACCGCTATAATGACATCTCCCAGCTCCTGGTGTCGCGCAAAGGCCGTTGCGGAGAGTACGCGAACTGCTTCACATTCCTCTGTCGCGCCCTGGACTACGACGCACGCATTGTGCACTCCCACTTCGACCACGTGTGGACCGAGGTATACTCCGAGGCGCAAATGCGCTGGCTGCATGTTGACCCCTCCGAGAACGTGGTGGACTCCCCGTTAATGTATCAGCACGGCTGGAAACGTCACATCGACTACGTGCTCGCATACTCACGAGACGACGTCCAAGACGTTACTTGGCGATACACGAGTGACCACCAGAAGATCCTGCAGTTGCGCAAACTCTGCAGTGAAAAAGAACTGGTGCAGACGCTGGAGGATATTCGCAAAAAGCGGCGAAATAATTGTACCGCCGAACGAAAGTTGTTCCTTGGTCAGCGCAACCTGTGTGAGGTCATCGGGTTGACCCTCGATCGGTAAGCTTTTATAATCTCTTTGCAGCGGTCAGCGTTATTATTATGAGTATAACATAACGCTCTACTTTCTCAGCAAACCAACAGAGAACGAGCTGAAGGGCAGGAGTTCTGGCAGTCTCTCGTGGCGACAGTCGCGGGGAGAGCACACTTTTACCAACGTGAGTGACCCGCGACTTCCTGCCGGGCGTTTGTGACCACTTAATTTATGACTTTTTGCAGATTTTCATTTTCAACCTTAATGATGCTGAGGTGCAAAATCGCCAATTTAATTTGCGTTACAGCTGCGCCACAGACACATACGAACGATATGCTAAAGGTGAGTAGAAAAATCTATTCAAAAGCCAGGCGAATACGATAAACTTCCATGACCGCAGATGGAGGACACGTTACAATATTGGACACTTATAAAAGTTGGCAAAGGGCGCAATTTTCCTCAACGAACATATTTCGTAAAGTGGAGCGCGATTGGAAAATGGCTTATCTGGCAAGACTGGAGGATACTGAATTTGGGGAAATTGTATGGAAGTTTGATTTTAGCAAGTCCAATCTGAAAGTTAAGTCCTACAACTTGGTTTTTGACACAAAAACTTTTGGCGAAGGAAAAGTCGATGTAACCGTGGAAAGCATGGATGGACCCGGTTCGGTAGAAAATACCAATGGATTCCAAATTGTGGCGAAGCTCACCGGCGGTAAGGGCGACGTGGCGTGGCAGCATACCCAGCTCTTTAGACAGAGTCTGAATTCCCGAGAATACCCCTTCGAACTGGAGGTGAAATTACACTGAATCCGACGAAAACTATATTCCAAAATCAAGGTATAAATGTAAATAAGCAAAGTCGATTCCAAGTCTTGATGAAAATGTTAATAATACCATATAATTTTTAATTTTATTTTATATGTACACACAATAAAAAAACCATGTAAAATCAACATAGATTTATTGATGTATTATTGAATTGTATTTAACAATTGAAATAGTAGAAATCCTATTTATCTTGTTGTTTTATTCATTTGGCAAATTAATATTAAAGTCTTAAATAATATCGTAGCAAGACTATTTTATTTGGTTGCATGCATTTTGTTGTTTTATTTTTTGGGGCATTGAATAGTGACACCACAATTAATATCGTAACACAACTATTATTTTTCTTCATGTATTTTGTAGCTTTAAAAATTCAATTAAAACAAGAAAGGAAGCTAGCTTCGGCCAGCCGAAGCTTATATACCCTTGCAGATCATTCCTATTAATTAACAAATCGCAAAAATGTTCAATTTTCTAATATTTCTCATTAATTTTCCGATCGTTCCTATGGCAGCTATATGATATAGTGGTCCGATTTTGATCAAATTAAAATTGAAATTCGGAAATATTTAAAAAGAGTCATTTCCTAGAGTAGAAAATAATACAATAAAAACCAAAGAAGCTAGAATTTATTTCCTATTACTTTTCCATTAATTTTTCGATCGTTCCTATGGCAGCTATATGATATAGTAGTCTGATTTTTTTAAATAATTAATTCGAAAATCAGAAATATTTAAAAAATAACATCCCCAAAAGTAGAAGGTAATATTTCAAAAAACATCCGAGCTATAATTTTTTTCCGTTTTTTTTCGATCCTTCCTATGGGAGCTATAAGATATAGTTGTCCGATCCGGTCGGTTCCGACATATATACTACCTGCAATGGAAATACGACTTTTACGAAAGTTTCATCACGATAGCTTTAAAACTGAGAGACTAGTTTGTGTAGAAACGGACGGACAGACGGACGGACAGACGGACATGGCTAGATCGACTCGTCTAGTGATGCTGATCAAGAATATATATACTTTATGGGGTCGGAAACGTCTCCTTCACTGCGTTGCAAACTTCTGACTGAAATCATAATACCCTCTGCAAGGGTATAATTGTAAGTCAACTATTTTTCGGGACTTAGGGTGGTTAGAGTTAGACTCATAATGTCTGGGTCGTGGGTTCAAATCCCGCTTTTGCAGATTTTCACCGGTTCGATTCCCAGCGGAGGTAAAAACCCTGATTTGTAAGTTTAAGTTTCTGTGAACTTCCATTATCTATAACTATAACAGTATCTTTAACTAACTTCATTTAAATTAATATAACAAATTAAATCAAAAATAAAAAAAAAATTTTTTTTCGTGTAAAATACTGTTTTGTAGGTTATCTACTATTTTATAGGTAATCTACATTTTTTTTTGGCATTTTCTATTTGGTATGGTTGGCGCAGTTTTCACTAATTCATTTCACATTTACATCTTTTTATACCCTTGCTGAGGGTATTATGATTTCAGTCAGATGTTTGCAACGCATTGAAGGAGACGTTTCCGACCCCATAAAGTATATATATTCTTGATCAGCATCACTAGACGAGTCGATCTAGCCATGTCCGTCTGTCCGTCTGTTTCTACACAAACTAGTCTCTCAGTTTTTAAGCTATCGGCCTAAAACTTTCCCAAAAGTCTTCTTTCTATTGCAGGTAGCATATATTTCGAAACCGACCAAATCGAACAACTATATCTTATAGCTCCCATAGGAAGGATCGGAAAAAAGTTTACAAAATCTAGCTTCGGTGTTTTTATACCCGTGACCCGTAGAGTAAAAGGGTATATTAGATTCGTGCAAAAGTATGTAACAGGGAGAAGGAAGCGTTTCCGACCCTATAAAGTATATATATTCTTGATCAGGGTCACTAGCCGAGTCGATCTGGCCTTGTCCGTCTGTCCGTCTGTCTGTCTGTCTGTCTGTCCGTATGAACGCTGAGATCTCGGAAACTACAAAAGCTAGAAGGTTGAGATTTTCCACACATATTCTTGGGCTTCCTACGCAGCCGAGCGCCAGGCCCCCTCTAACGCCCACAATCGCCCACTAACGATTTTAAAATGTGTCCTGCGCCCACACCTTTAAAGATTTCCGAGAAGTATAAATGCCATTTTGTTGTGTATAATTATACCTATCGAAATGTAGAATACATTTTTCAAATCGGACCATTCATTAAAAAGTTATACGCAATCAAAATTTATAAATCTATCTCCCTCGCACTCCCTTTAGCTGAGTGACGGGTATTAGATAGTCGGGACACCAACCCGACTATAGCGTTCTCTCTTGTTTAATGCTCACTCGGTGCAGTTCGAGGGATTCCAGATTCAGCGTTTCTATTTCAATTTTGTTTTTAAGTAGTCAAGAATCAAAACGCCTACTTCCTACAAAGTTACAATGAATTTTCTTATATTTGTTTGAATATTCCTATGGAAGCCTTAAGATATAGTGGTCCCGGATCGCTCCGACATATGTACTACCTGCAATAGAAAGAAGACTTTCGGGAAAGTTTCATCGCGATGGCTTTAAAACTGAGAGACTAGTTCGCATAGAAACGGACAGACGGACAGACAGACAGACGGACAGACGGACATGGCTACACACAAAAACAAGAGAGAACGCTATAGTCGAGTTGGTGTCCCGACTATCTAATACCCGTCACTCAGCTAAAGGAAGTGCGAACGCGGGTTGGTGTCCTGACTAATAATCGTAACTCAGCTAAAGGGAGTGCGAGGGAGATAGATATATGTAGATATTTTGATTGCGTATAACTTTTTAATGAATGGTCCGATTTGAAAAATGTCTTCTACATTTCGATAGGTATAAATATACACAATAAAATTGCATTTATACTTCTCGGAAATCTTTAAAGATGTGGGCGCAGGACCCATTTTAAAATCGTTAGTGGGCGATTGTGGGCGTTAGAGGGGGCGTGGCGCTCGGCTAAAATAAACTTGCGATGCGTAGGAAGCCAAAGAATATGTGTGGAAAATCTCAAGCTTCTAGCTTTTGCAGTTTCCGAGATCTCAGCGTTCATACAGACGGACAGACGGACATGGCTAGATCGACTCGGCTAGTGTCGCTGATCAAGAATATATATACTTTATGGGGTCGGAAACGCTTCCTTCTAGCTGTTACATACTTTTGCACGAATCTAATATACCCTTTTACTCTACGAGTAACGGGTATAAAAAGCACGTCGCCGTAAAATCGATAAGTCCAGGTAATTTTCTGGTTATTCCTACTCATATCGTTTTTATCTGAAATTTTCATAAAATTTACATTAAATAATATCATTTTGCCGAATTCTCTCTCTCGGAGATTCTCTAACTTCGAAAAAGAGCGCTAGAATCAATATGGCGAGCAAAATTGACATGAGTGGAAGCGAGAAAGACGTATTCGAAATTCGAACTGACGCACAGTGGGGCGAAAAAGCCAAAAGTCTGCCTTAAATCAGCGGAGCCCTATATCGAATATCTTTTGATGGGGCATTGTTGAAGGCAATTAAATATGTAAAAAAACATCATAAGGTGAATTTTTTTAGTGAAATTTTTTTGTTGTAGAAAATTTTTAAGAAAAAATAAATTGTTTTTTTAAGAAAAAAAATATAAATAAATTAGTTATAGGGTTCTAAGTTTCCCAATATTTTTTTTTAATTTAACTTGATTTTTGAAAAAAAAATTATTCAAATCGGTCAACTATATCTTATAGCTGCCATATAAACGCTTATTACAAAGGGGAATGTCTCGGTTCTATTTCAATATTGGTTCATATAAATTGGGATTAAGTCATTATTTATCATTTTAGCTCTATGCTTACCTTTTTTTAATTGGTCAATGATATCTTATAGATGTCATAGAATCAATCAAGGAAATATAGCATATTTTCAAAAAAAAAACTGGTAGAAACCGGTATTTACTTCATATATGTATTTTTAGTAAAATAACATAATTTAAAATTTTAAACCCAAATTTGTTTATTAATTTATCATTATCTTCATCAATACCTTCACATAAGTAAAATATCTTCATGATGTTAGGGCGCGCGAATGAACCAGGGCTGACGATATTTCAAATTATGAACATTTCTTGCTAACTTAAACTGCGGTTTTCTCAGAAGAGGCACAAAAGGGCAGGCTAATTTTTTCAGAATATGTAGTTAAATATCTAAACTTTTTTTTAAAAAAAGAATTAAACGGGGATCTAGGGTGTAACACTACTTTACGTCCAAGGATATCCAAAAAATCCCTTTTTTTTTGGACCACTTTTAAAAAATTAAAAAAAAAAAGTAATTATGTATCTAAAATTTTTATTTTTTTTTTAATATTTTAAGAATTGGTTGCTCTTAAAATTTCAATCGTTACATATACGACTTAGGCCCTTGGGCGCTTTCAGAAAAATTTCAAAGATGTGTAAAAATACCTTTTTTTCTTATTGGCTAAAATTATATTTCGAAAAATCCACTTTATAAATCTGTAGTGGGAGAACCATTTAACACAGATCACTCTTTCCTTTTGATGTGTATAGAGAATCCAATTGTTTTTGAAGTTGCATTGCAACATTTTGGGAAATCTTAAAAAAAAAAAAACCATTTTGGCAGGCTTTTTGTTCTAGGCGCCCCACTGTGTGACGTACTTCAAAAGCATGTTTTCTCGCTCGCACAAGTATAAGTATTGTTCGACCATATCACATTTACCTGGCCCCATATCAAGTTAAAAATGATCTTAAACAAGAAAGGAAGCTACCTTCGGCCAGCCGAAGCTTATATACCCTTGTAGATAAAGTAATGCTTACTCGGTGCAGTTCCAGGGATTCCAGATTCAGCGTTTATATTTTAATTTTGTTTATACATAAGTAAGTAGTCAAGAATCAAAACGCCTACTTCCTATAAAGTTACAATGAATTTTCTTATATTTGTTTGAAAATTCCTATGGGAGCCTTAAGATATAGTGGTCCGATCCGGCTCGCTCCGACATATGTACTACCTGCAATAGAAAGAAGTCTTTTGGGAAAGTTTCATCGCGATAGCTTTAAAACTGAGGGACTAGTTCGCATAGAAACGGACAGACGTCCAGACGGACATGGCTAGATAGACTCGATATATACTTTATGTGGTCGGAAACGTCTCCTTCACTGCGTTGCAAACATCTGACTGAAATTATAATACCCTCTACAAGGGTATAAAAAGGTCAAATTGACCTACGATTTATATCGATTT